GGCGCTTTAACGGCTCCGTACGTGAATATATGTGCCCTGTCGGTCACTGTTAACGCGAACACGACGTCGGCGCTTTTCAGCATGAGGGATATACGTGTCAAACGAACGAAGTACATTTGGACAACTAAGACGGCAATAACTACGCAGTAACACTGGATCAGTAACTACCTGTGCACGTACGATCAAAATAAATTGAAGACCGCGTAATATATTTCGATTTTAAATATGTAAGTACTACCGCTTTGTTCTTTTCGCTCGTGAAGATGTGCGAAGATGTTTGTTCTGCGTTGAAAACATCACCCACACGCTCGAAATCTTTGAGAACAAGTGCCTGATAAAAGCTGCCCGGCAGAGAAAACAGTACGAAGAGACACCTTTCATAGTCCACGTACTTTATTCTTTATCTGAATGTTTTTATCCGCTCATGAACGACGGGGTCGTTTTCATATAGTGACAGGACTGACATATAATAAATGTATAAGCGTCAACGGGATGCTGGTGAAACTTGAACACACTTTATATTGCTTTCAATTGTTATTTTGCTTTGAATCCTTTCTTGTTTTTACACACCTGCTGCGGAGCAAATGTTTGGGATTGAAATGTAGCGAAGTTAAGCATCGTTCACTGATGAAGAAAAATGCGCTAACTAAAGCAATTACACTTTTACAATATTAATCAAGGTACGCACTATTCGGTACGACTCAAATAGCCAGAGCGTTCCGTGGTATTATCTGGCGAAGAGACAAAATGCACGCGCGTTTTTCCATAGGAATGTACAGGAGTACCGCAAAAGTAGACTGGTTGCTGTCTGCTTCAATTTTCGCCACGGAAGTCGCATAGACACTAGCGCCAGTTGAACCTCTAGCGTACATTATATTAACTCTATAGTTTTATCCGCCTTTTCATGTCCGTTTTATAGGTGTGGTTTTATCTAACTCACACTATGCATGGAATCTTTCTCGAGTTCCCCTTCTCGTTTTCCGTCGGTTGAGTTTGTTGCAACCCAAAGTAAGCCTTTTTTTGTTTATCAAACCTTGTAGTTTTTTTCCCCCCTATTATTTCTGAAAATATGTTAACTGACAAAATGATGGGTTTATATTGTGGTAGATTTGCCACGTTTTATTAAATGTGTAGGGTTGGAATCACTCTCTTAAAGGGTTTTCGCTAATTATTTAGTTATATTTGACTATTATTTATTGCTTTTACTATGCCCACCATTATTTCCACCTTAGAGATTGAATAAAAGAGTAATTTTTGTTTTCACAAAAATTACTTCATTATTGTAGGTTGTCAGAGATGGTCCCATCTCTGACGACCTACTTCACTCACCGATACATTCAACGGCATTACAAGCCGTTGAATGTATCGATTGAATTTTTTTTTTAATGTTGTCCGGCAATGAACAATTTCTTTAATGTCGGTTTGCATTATCTTGACTCGGGCCTGGATTCAGACAGTGTTGGGTGAAGTACATCTAAAAAATGCTTGATGTAAAGCGCAAACTAAATTAGACGTCATGTATACTTCAAGTAAAGTAGTAATTAAACCGCAGGTGCAATGTACTTGAAGTTCTATAAATACGACGCGCTTTCAAAGTACGAGTGCTTTTAAACACAATATTTAATTATGCCCTTTCAATCCCCAGTGTTTTTTTTTTTTTTTTTTTTTTGTTTAACTAGTATGCATTGCGCCACGTGTGATCGGGGGTACATTTCGGAAATGGCGGCGATTATAGTATAAAGCCAAGTGACCACAGAGCCGTTATTTTACTCTCGCTCTAGAACTATTTGAAACAATCAAATTATAAGGCAGTTACTTGTATCGGTCTTATATGCGCCATAGCTTCACTCAGAGAAATGACTAGATTACGTCTCGAAAGACGATAGCGCGCTTTCCCATGGCGATAGGTCATTTTTTTTTCTTTCTATTTTGAGGAATGTATTTAACGGGAGTTGTACTTTCTTCGGAAAGCTTAAAATAATAATTTAGAGTAAAGTACAGGTACATACCTAGAGCATGCATCTCAAGTGAAGTCAAAGTTTTCTAATCCTATTTGAATTAGTTCTTCAAGTACAATGTACTTAAAGGTAAAAAGAGGTTCTAACTGTTTTTTTTTACTTCTTTATAAGCATATCTTATTCTTAATATAGTATACGGATGTATTTCTCAGTGATGATTTTGAATATGCGATTAGTGTTCATATAGCTTTATTATATTCTTACGTATCGATACATCTATAACTTTAATTAGGTGCTTCGCAAGGCTCTTAACAATATATCAAAATATTTTATAGATTGGATTCAGCTAGACATGCTTTGTGTGGTGTGCCTAATACTGTCGATTTTTATGTATCTAATAATTTTCATCAATCGGTATTTGAAAGATAAGGGATCTTGTTTTGTGCAGCTTGGTCATAAATGATTTTACCAATGTAATATACATAAATTAGACGTAAAATAGCATTACCGCAACAAGCTTGTTTTGCTGAATGCAAATCTATAAAAATTGCTAATATATAGTGAATATTATTTATGCTAAGGGAAATTAAAACCCAAAATATATTTATACATCAGACTTTAGTACAGCTATGTGAAAACTATTTGCATATTTAAAGGTTGTACCGAACAAATACATCAGTAAACCAAAATTCAGCACAATAGATGATTAAAAAAATAGTAAATGTCCCTTATTCCCTCTTAAAGTACCTCCCAACATTGGATATGCGGGACATGCAAATATTCGCTCCATGTTGTTTTCGAAAAAAAAAAAAAAAAAAAAAAAAACGGTCTGTGCTTGATGCAAATCGAAAATATGGTTTCATTAAAAGTATGTTTGTGATATTTGTTCGATAATCACTCAAGTGTGATTACGTTTTTTCTTTATTTTTTTTTTTTGTTAACAAAATGATAGGAAACTTTTTTTAATGCTCCGTATTGCGTGTTGTATTCGGTTGGTTTTTGGCGCATGTGTTTCATATTTTGTTGGCTGCTTTACTGTAATCAATGCGTTCGTGTCGTTCATAGCTCCTCTCTTTGTAGTTTCCTAAAAATATGTTCATGCCATTACTTCTTTCCTGTGCAGTTCATACCAGCAGCACACTGCAGTAATGGATAATGATTATACATAATAGGAAAGTTTCTTCAAGCGTGAAGTGAGCCTCATGACACAATTTCACAAATGGAACGGGTAATCTTTTTGTATGAACTATTCCTCGCACGATTGGTTTCTCTGAGCCTAACAATAACGAACCCTCGATTTTATCTCCTAATAATTTCCCTCTTTCTGTCTATACCGGTTTTTTTTTTTTATTTTTTTTTTTTTATTCTTGCGAATAAAAAAAAAGATGACATGAAAGCTACACTTATGCTGCTTGTACGAGTGAGTTTTACGCCCAGGGGGACATTACGCGGATGGCTAATCTTGGCGATAAGTCGGCTAATTAATTAATTAAAATTCACTTTAACTTTTTAATTAGTCAAAATAGACGCATGATTCCAATTAGAAACTTGCTGAGCGTTATCAGAAACTACTAAATCAGTCATTGTCAGAAAGAGTTTGAGCGCGTGAGAAGAGTAGAAGCGCACTAAAATCACCACTCGTGGAGCAGGTACAAGGCTAGCGGTTGCGGTAAGGCGCCCGCGCAATTTTTCCGTCTCTTATTTAGCCCCAGCCTTGTACCTGCTCCCCGAGTGGTAACTTTAGTGCGCTACTACGCTTCTCACGTGCTCAAAGTCTTTCTAAAAATAACTGATTTAGTTGTTTTTGATAACGCTTAGCAACTTTCTAATTGGAACCATATGTCTATTTCCACTAATTAAGAAGTTGATTAACAAATTTTGATTAATTAGGTGGCTAATTAGCATGTTTTTGGCAATTCCTGACGTCCGCCGTGGCTGGTAATTTGTTTCCAAAGACAGTTTCTTTTTTTCTTTTTTTTCAAACGCCCTAATGTTTAGGATTTTTGGAAGTCTTCGCAAAAACACCCGGTATATATTTATATATATATATATATATCGATGAGATTTGTAGACCATCCTAATTGAAAACTGTATGGGCGGAGCTTTGATATGTAATAATTGCCGTTTTTATCATCAAAGGTCTTCGTTAGTTGATACATAGAAAGGGAAAGAAATAAAAAGCGTGTGTTGACAGTCGAATTAAAAATCTCTGGACGTTCCCTCTTCGTCAAACGCGTCATTCCATGACAATTATAAAGAAGCGCTTCCGATTTACGCCTAGTGAGACAGACGCACAATGTAGGCTACCATTTAATTTATAATTATTTGCGTGAACGCAGCCTTTAAATTTCTAAATACGACAAAGTCTGTGAAATTGAAAATTGCTAATTTATTGAACTATTGTTCTCTCTCGTGTGTTTACGCCGCATTTGACCAGTGATCAAGTTTTTTGTCGAGATTTCCTTCATAAACCCCTTTCAAAAGCTACTTTCCGATTGTTCGCCTACAAGACAAGGTCCCCAAAAGGCCGATATTGGTAAACCGATTTGTCTAAAACTAGCTAACACAAAGGTTCGGGCGAGTTGGTTGCTCATGAGGTACCGGGGGAACAACGCGCCCGCAAAACAGTCACTCGAGTCAGCACACACACAAATGAAAGAGACACTTACGCAGCGCTGACTGACAACTCTCGGGTATATTTACACCTTTTTCCTCTTCTTCTATTTCTGTTATATTATAAACTACATATAATAACTATATAGAAAGGAGTCCGCGGAATAGGGTTGTGACTTTGAGGAACCTCTTTCTCGTCTTTGCCATTGTCTGAGGCCCCCAGAAGTGCCGATGCGGTGAATACTTCGTATGATGACGTAATACAGGTTGCGAGAGTATCTTTCATAAAACCAGACAAAATGCCGCTGTGATAACGTATTGCCAACTTTGTCCCCTCCCGCAGCATGGTACATCGCCAACGCCGCCTGAAGCTCCAAACCAACAACGAAGTTGTACCACCGAGACCCTTGGGAGAACCCAATCTCCACCATGCCCTCTGAAATCACCCCATCCCCGAGGTACCGCCTTAACCTGAAGGTCGTCATCATGTCCATCCTCATCTGGGCGGGTACTTTCGTCGTATTCGCCGCCATCTCGGTTACCTTGGCCATCACCACCAACGCCATGTACTTCCTCTTCATCATCATGGGCTTGGTGGTGTCCACCTTTGCCATGGCCTTTTACAAGCCAGAGGGTCCTTGGGAGCCTCTGGTGCCGTACAGCAAACTCTGCGACCCCAAGCTGGAGACCCACGCTCCTATATACGTGGAAGAGAAGTCCTCCATCTATCCGCCGTCTCCTTCTATCAGGAGCGTCACGCGCTCCGATCCTTGGCTCTGCACGAGCGCCAAGACGACGCTGAAGGGTTCGTTCTCTTCGCCGAGGCTGTCCCACCACAGCACCTTGAATGAAACCTGGCCTAGCGCTCCGCCGAGAGACCGAGCATCGCATCTTCCAGCGGGGTTTTTGCCCCTGGTTCCGACGGGAGTCTCAAGGAGTCTGTCCTCAGTGAGAGTGTCCAGCCCGGCCAACTGCGAGGAGCTGAAGGCAAGCACTTGCCACCAGTCTTATGGATGCTACGAGAGCCGTGTGATACGGACAAATTACAAAGAATGGCCCATCGACGGCTGCGCCTCGGACGTCGCCGACTGCTTGGAGGCTGACGCTACGTCGGCAGCGGACGCCGACCTTCTCGCCAATCCCTTGAGCACCACGATCACCATGACTGATGTCTCCAAGGAAGCTCCCGCAGAAAAGAAAAGGCGACGACTCCTCTGGAATATTTTTGGCAGGAGTAACGACAAGCCTTTAGAAAGGGAGCTTTCGGTGGACGCGAGCGAATGCGACGACACAAAGCCAAAAGATACTTTCCTCACAAACGACGGCGGAACTAAACCAAAAGCTCAGAACAAAGCGACCGGTATCGCTAACTTGCCAGAGTACCAGAAAGTTGTGGAAAACATCGAAAAGACTATACGAGAGGCGAAATCCGTTTTGAATAGCCCGGAGGAAAGGCAGTCTGGTGATGGCGCGACAAAGCAAATGATGGACGTTCAGCCGCTGAAACAGAGCCGTCACAAGGGCAAACAAAGTCCTAGAATTAACGAAGGTACTCCGGAAACTCACAGTCTCCGAGGCATCCTCAACTCGACGGACTCCAGCGTTTCGGATGTTACTGGCATCCCGCCCTTCTGGAAGGACGGACAGTCTCCAGAGGGCGCTTTCTCACACACCAGGAGCTCGAGACACAGCACGAGTCCCTCCGCGGCGTCATCGGCAAGCCGGCTCACGAGCGGCGCATCGACGCCGAGGGGTCCCGACCACCAATACCTGAACGAGGCCTTCTTCAAGACCCATTCCAGCTGGGACGACGCGAACCCCGAATCCACCACGCCTTTCCAGAAGAGGAGCGGGAGTAAGGGGAGCAGCAGCCACGACATCCTTTGCAAGTCGGACCTCCAGTTGTCTCCGGATGAGACGCGCATCTGGGGTGCCCCTAGTCAAAACAGGACCAAGGTCGGGGACAAGGCGAGCCAGACGTCGCTACGCCAGTTTTACACGCAATTTTGTGGCGATGACTTAGATCCGTTCAGGATGCCACCGCTGGTCAAGGCGGACCTGGTGGAAGTGACTGTCATCAATAACGCGCCGCCGGACAGCGGCGGCATCCAGCAGAAGGGGGCCAGTCCGGAGACGGGAGACAAGAAGCCACCGGCTTCCAAGTACGTGCAGGCCACGAGTAAGACTGTCGAGGCGAGCGTTCAGATGGGGCGAGAGGTCGTCACGTGCGACGGGGATAACAACAGTCCTAGCAAGAAGTCGAAGAGACGCAAGCTCAAGCTCCTGCCGCGATTTCTGAGGGGTAAAAAGAAAAAATGAAGCTGTTTCACGTATTTGTTTTTTCGGACCGTTATTTCTTTTTTTGTGTATTTGTGTTTTTTGCGAAGGCGTTACAGTGTCTGAGACCCGTACTTTTATTCATCTTCATTTTCCAATAAAATATGGGCATCGTGTCAGCCGTTTAAGGTATCAGTCATGTGACGGATCAATTTGCGGCTAAAACTAGAGGTCAAATTTCATTATGGTGACACATGGTAGTCTTGCATGGTCGTCGTGAAAAGACAGTGTCGATTGGTGATCGCAACGATTCAGAAATGCAACTTTCTGAGCTTTAGACACTGCCTCAGAAAGCTCAGTCGATTTCATTTGGCTCTGTTGTGGGTTGTGTTACCATTTCTGAAGGACAAAAAAAGCACATTTTGTGATTTCAGATAAATCTTGAGATGGCAACATGTCCTCAAGCAGTAAGATGACTGAAGAGTCGTCCTTCGCGCAGGTTTTTTTATACCCTATCCTTACTTAAAAGGTACACTTAAAAGAATGGCACTCCGGCGACTTTTACCTACCCCAACCAACTTAATTTTCTTAATCCCGAGTTTTTACCCTTATCGGAGTTACCGGAACAATCTACGCAAACTAACTTAGTCTGCGCCTCAAAAAGTACAGTTGTCTGCTGGCATAGCTTTTATCTAGGTACTTTAATTTAACCAATATGATGCAGTTTTAAACAACACCTCACAACCCTAAAAAAAAAAAACAAAAAAAAAAACAAACAAAGAGGATACAACAGCCAAAGACCTTTGTTTTTTTCCCCTAGTCTCGGACTTCTATTTTAAAATATATTTAACCATCACCAGATAGTCTGAGCCCTAACTTTTTGTTCATTGAAGCAGTAGTTTGTAACATCCAGCCGCTTTTCAATTGTAATCGTATTGATCAGATAAGTTAATCGCCAAGCGTCTCTACGTTTCTAGCAGACGTCCTTGTCAACCTGTGTCTTGAAAGCGAAGGATATGCCAAAAGTTTATGCCGAGCAATATACCATATAATTTTTTTATTCGCGAGAAATTAACATTATAATCCGAAAGATCTTTTCCTCACATCGTGATGTCTTGAAAAAAATCGTTCAGCTTTTCCACTCTCGTGAAGAAGGAAGACCAACGGAGCTGTACTCGATACACTATGTGCTTCTTCTTCGTCGTCGTCTGTTTTTCGCTCTGTTTGCTACGATGAATTCCCACCAACGCGCCCAACTATCCATTGCTCTATTATAGCTGGAAGGGTTGTCGCCATCTACTAGCGACGGCGGAAACCATACTGGTTGTGTGCTTGCCGCCGTCGCTTATAGATGGCGGTAGCTGTCCAGGTAGGTTTGTGTCGACATACACGGACACAATCCTGGGGAACCTAGCTCTTAACAGCTCCGCTGTAAAAGTATGTAGAAATTAGTGCACCTTGGATCAGAAGCCCATATCAGAGAATAAAAGCCATTTAGCTTGGTCTCCTTCGATAGATGAGCTGGCTGGGCTAGCTAGTTTTGCTTAGCAGACGAGCGCAGCGCTGGCACCGCGTGTCGCGGGCGAGATCACGCGGTGAACGTGCAACAGGGACAGGGGACTAGCCGGAACATCGTAGCCACGAGCCATGCCACAGTTTCTCGGCCACACTAAAGCCCCTCGATGTGTTTGCTTTAGGCCACACGGATCGCGTCGCCATCTAGGGGTCAAATTTTAGGCCTTTTCAAGCTGACCGCCGTGGGACCTCAGCCTTAAAAAAAAAAGGGGGGGGGGGGTGCAACGATATTAAGATTAAAAGAATTTACATGTCGTCAATTTTACGTGGTTTATCGTGTCCCGGAGGAAAGAGAAAACAGCTCCTTCATTAAAAAATGTCGGGATTCCACTGCATAATCGCAAAGCAAAGGTCGAGCTTTTTTCCCCACCTGCAGCCGCGAGTGGCAGCCGAAGGAACTATGGCGAGAGCTTACGTGACCTCGGTCGGCCCTAAGCTGCAGCATAACGCCATCTTATGTCACTAGAAAGAGAGAGAGGAAGCGTCCTCCGAGAGAGCACTAGGGAAGCTACACGGCAGCCCGGATTACGTCACTAAAAGGGAAGCCAGGTGTGACCCTGAAGACTGAAAGTGAGTTGAGGGGTGCCAGAAATGTCAATGTTTATATTTTTCTCTTTTTTTTGTCCCACAACAAGTAGTATACGCACGCAAAATTGGTTTTCTGTTCTTTACTTTAGAAGTGTCAGATGATAACTTCCACAAATGTTTGACCGAAGTCCGGAAATCGTTGCACCCCGCCCTTTAACTGCTTGTAATCAGTTGGGGACAAATCCTACAGTCCAAAGATTGAACCCCTGCCTGCCGCTGAGGTCAACTTCTCGTGGTCGCCAGTAGAGACACTTCAAAAGCACGATCAGGACCAATATTCTAACTTGCATAACTTCAAGAAAAGGAAATATTTTGGCTTAAAGGGTTGGGGGGTGGGGGGGGGGGGGGGTGCAATGATTTCCGGACTTCGGTCAAGCATTTGTGGAAGTTGCCCTCTGACCCTTTTAAAGTAAAGAACAGAAAACAGATTTCATCTGCGTGTCCTGGTTGTGTAAAAAAATATAAATATATGCATTTCTGGCACCCCTCAAGTCACTCTCAGTCTTCGAGGCCACAACCGGTTCCCCTCCTAGTGACGTAATTCGGGCTGCCGTGTAGCTTCCCGTGTGCTCCCTCGGAGGGCACTTCCTCTCCCTCTCTCTGCTGACATTAGCGGGCGTTATGCTGCAGCTTAGAGCCGACAGAGGTCACGTTATCTGGTCGCCGTAGTTCCTTCGGCTTCTACCTGGGGCTGCAGGTGGGGGAGAAAGCTCGACTTTGGCTTTGCGATTACGCAGCGGAATCGCGACATTTTTTTATAAAGGAGATGTTTTTTCTATCCTCCGGGACACGATAAACAACGTAAAAATGACGAGATGCAAATTTTTTTAAATCTTAAAGTTGTTGCGCTCCCCCTTTAATATTTTGGGATACTATTTCAGCGATGTGTGTCGGTGTGTTTAGTACATTCTCAGATAAATCGGGACGATTGAAATTATTTCCGTGTCTAAATGGCGCCACCGCTCTGCCTTGGCAAAAGGTGCTTTGAAAGCCAAGCGAATCTGACGGGTCTTTTTGTTCTTTTGCAGATCTGCATATGCATGAAAAAGAGAGAAAAGAAAAAGAGTATTAAACTTCGCTTGGTGTTTTTTTTTTTTTTTTTATGGTCTGTCAGCGCATTACGCTCGGGGACACCTTTGAGTGAGAATTCAGAAGTGAAGACGGTGTGCGCATAACCTTGATCGGCATGGTGATAGCTGCAGGGATGTAAAGGGAAAGAAATTGGGTATTTAAGCGGGGGAGGAAAGCAAATTTCTCAGTCTAGGTGGCGCAAGCTACCGCCTGTTACAAAGGGGATAACCAACAACATTCATCCATCCCTCCGGATGTGCATTCCGCTACAGTAAACTAAAAACATCTGCGCCGTGTTGCTTGTGCCTCGTCTTGGCGAAGGGCCTCGTCCTCTTGCCCCTGAGACGCTTTGAATCGCGGACCTTTTGCACCTCACGCTTACGAAAGGCTTTGTTCTGTCTCCTAGCGCGTTGCCCCGCTGCTCGTTCCGCCCGCCGTGTATTTGGAGACTTTACGACGGTAGTGGATTTCCCTGCCTGCCTCCTCGCTCGTTGTGCTACGTGATTCCGCTTTCTTAGTTTGTCTCCGGCGTACTTGCGTGGACGGGCAGGTTTCGCTACTGTCGAGGTTGCGGCTGCTTACGATGAAGATGCTCGAGGCGCCGCCATGTTCGTCGGTGTCGAGAGGAGCAGAACCGGCCGAGCGCGCGCCACCTTGTTCCTTTTACCGGGGCGGGGCCCGCGCGACGCCATGGGGTGGCGTTCCTTGAAACTATGACGCGCGCCAGCCAATAGGAGCCTCGTTCCTTGAAACTACGATGCGCGCCAGCCAATGGGAGCCTATCCATCAAATTGCTGCTACAGACGACAGGCCTCGCTCCATTGGGACAGGGGAGTTTAGGTGCCGTTTGGCACAGCTTCGAAAGCTTATAACGCCGGTTCGCTCCATGGGACATTAATGCTTTCGCACTAAAAGAAAAAAAAAAAAAGCGACGGTCTTCCAGTGAGCCGCATCCTCTAGAAACTAGCAGCTGGCGCTAACGCCCCCCTCCCTTCCATTCTTTTTTTTATTTTATAGATTTGTAGCTCTCAAGTTTCGAGCAGCGCCCCCTAGCGAGCAAATTCAGATACCTTCAGGTTGCGTTTCCGTTGTACGTCGCCTCACATCCTTTCAAAGGCTCTGGTTGTGCATATGGACAGTGGCTGGGGGACGCTGACAGACGCTAGTTTACGCCCGTGGACCGTACAGGATGGGACGCTAGGACGGCGCTTCCAGTGAGCATTAAACGGTCGCGTCTCGCGGATGCTGCCGGAGGCACCTACTTTGTGGTCGCGTCTCGTGGACCCTACACCGTCCCCTGGCCGAGGGAGACAGGCCTATGGCCACCTTTCTTTCTACAAGTTTCCTACCCAGGAATTCTCAAAATAAGACTGCGATAGAACGCATGGTTTACCGAAATTGGTGGATTAAGAAGATGAGCGGTGTATAATTCGGTGATTCTGATTCAATACCGGACAGCACAAAAAATATCCGCTTTCAAACCGGCGGAAAATACTGTCTTTTTTTTTTGTTGTTGAAAATTTACAGTAACCAAAAAAAGTAACGGTTACTTTTTTTTTTATCAAGTAACGGCCGATTACCTTCCCTCACAAGTAATGAAGAAATCTGATTAAATATTTTTGGGTTAAGAATAATCATAACTGTTATGAACTACTTTTTCAAGGAACGTGTGCAAGACTGACGAAGACGTGTGAAACACACCAGTTCGAGACGCGTTCCCGACACCACAGCAACTCGGAGGACAAGTCGTCTGCTTTCTGCGCGGGGGTTGAGGTGACGTCAAAACGACGCCGAGCTCTCATTGGCTT